TCTCATAGCGTATTTATATTTTTGGGACCTCAAATCCGGCATTGTTCAACAGATTTCATGCATCTCTGTCCGCAATAAAAACAAAACTGTCTCTCTCCTGTACCACAGTTTATTAATCCATACCTCCAAATGACAGGTGCTGGGCTGCAAACGTTTGTGCTTTTTGAGGAGATTTCCTTGAGACGGTTTGGTAGGGAACTGATACAGGACTATCAATCACTTTGAGGCATTGTGCAATATAATGCAAAGGTAAATATGAATTCTGCAGCATGCAACACAGGTGAGAACAGTATTTTCGGTGTACAGTACAATCCAATTCAGAGTGTTTAAAAATGAGCATTACTCAATTAATTCATTCATTTTCTCTTTCTTCTTTAGAGTTGATGGAAGGCGGATTAATAAGCTCTAGCTAGATCGCAGTTAACACCTGCTTCCAGTCTTTGTGCAAAGCTAGGCCAAACACATCCTGCCCCGCTGTTTGAACCTATAATAAACTAGACAAATTTCTAATCGTAGAATAGAAATTTTTTTGTCCCCACTCAGTGACAAACTAGTGTGACTGTGAGGCAGCTAACAGCCTCACGTTTATCCATGCTGGAGATTTTGAATTGGAGCAGATCATTACAAATTGAATTTTAAATGTTTTTCTCCCATTGGACAGTTTGATATGCGCCAAAGGACTGACACGAAACGTTCGTCATCGTCTCTGTAGATTACCAAAAATCTTCCTCAGAACTGTTCATTTCTTAGTGTAAGACAAGTCAATTATCAAATTTTCTGTTTAGATACAGTATATATATATAGTATAATATTTAATGTAATATTTTTCTATTTACATAAGCTGTGCCAGCTGAATTAGAAATGTATGACAGAATAGATTTGTGTTTACAATTAAAACCTTTCACATTAACATCATAATTGGAACGTTAGCAGTGAAAATCTCCGATAGTAGCACAACAGAGCAAAATACAAACAATATAGCACAAGAAATTTAACAGTCCGTTAAAATCCTCAAAGTATAACAACGTGAGGCGCAGCTGATTAAACACTGTAGGCAACTCTGAGAGGTAGCGCAAGCAAAGTCCGAACAAAACCGTGTACTGATACACAACCATAGCAAAAATCAGGAAAGCTAGCATTCATACTGACGTTGAGCTGGGACCATTTTTTTTGCATAATGTGATTAGTAATCAGGCATGCTACATACAGTACAGGAGTGGGTGAAGTGAAGGCGTGAGCGGGATGGAGGTGAACTTAGGACCTTCCTCTTCTCCCTAACCTCTAGGCCTGACCTCGCCTCTATGCAGAGACACCGTCTGATTGGTGCAAAGTTCAAACGTGTCCCTGCTTTGAACCCTTGAGGCCGTGCTTTATCTTCACAGCAGCGACATCCTTTAAAAACAAACCACAGTTCATGTGCAACTTTGGTGGCAAGTTGATTGTGGGTCAGTTACATCTCCATGCCAACGCGAAGAGAAAAACAGGGGGGGGTCTTTACTGGGCGGACACGTTATAATTTCCTGTACTATTTATTTACAAAGTGCTACTCACTTAGCTGTCCTGCTAAATGAGGCTACAGTCGGATATGAAAACATTCTGTAATAAATGCTGTAAACATGCACAGGTTATAGTCGAGTAGTAGGTATGAAGGTTTGATTTAGTTCCATAACAACAGCTCATTTCCTCCCAAAAACTCTGTCAGGCTCAAAGAGAGGGCTTGTTCTGTGCAGGTTGGCGCACACTCCGGTGTTTGGCACATAAAAATCAAGCTGTCAATCCAAGCCAGTAAACCAAAGCTTTCTCCGACGCCCAGCCAGCCAGTGTCAGCTTGTTCCCCGTTTCTGTCACGTTTAATATCACCAACATGTCCGAGGACGTGGTTCGGCATGCTCCTTCAGCGAGAGCAGAAAGATTTTAGGTTTGTTAACACAGCCTCGGATCTGCAGCCGGCTACCGAAGAGGCGGTTTCATCAGACAAACTGTGCTGCTTCATCGCATCACATCAGTGGGGGGCGGAGTGATACCTGAAGATACCGATACTGAAGCTGTGTCCCAACTGCACACTACACGCTCATGCTAAGCAGGTTTGGAGTTTGTGGTGTTTTCACAATGTGGAAGTGACAAAATTAAGTATCCTCAAAGAAGCATCACGGAAATGCAACCAAGCATGAAGAAGTACTCTGATCTTTTACTTAAGTAGTAATACTACAATGTAGAAACACTTTATTACAAGTAAAGTTATTCAAAAGTGTCCTTAAAGCTGACGTTACAGCTAAATTTTTTAGTATCTAAACCCCACTCTGTCCCCTCAGACAGGCCAGCCAATCATTTAATAGGCAGACCAAGACCGAGGGAGGGCGAGACCGAGTCAAGACCAAGACCGAGGGAGGGCGAGACCGAGTCAAGACCAAGACCGAGGGAGGGCGAGACCGAGTCAAGACCAAGACCGAGGGAGGGCGAGACCGAGTCAAGACCAGTTCCTCACATTACATTACACACAATAAAATGTGGAACAAGGTACGTCTCAAATTGATCTGAAAGATCCACATTCCCATTAAAACACACAAATACAAACACTAAGAGCTGAAATCAACGTAAGCGTCTTTATTCAACGCTGCTTTTCCACGCTTACCATCACAGGGAGGGGGGACAGTCGTTAACAAAACAGTTTTAATTATTAATTGCAATTGAAGCGATACGTTTTACATCCAACCAAAGTTTGGATGTTAACAAATAAATCGGACGATGCAACAGCAATTTATTGATATTCCCAAAGTCATGGTCTTGACTGGTCTTGAAATAAAATCCAGATCCCTTAATGTCCGAGACGAGACTGAGTACAAATGCGGTTGAATCCAAAAAGTGGTCTTAAGACCGGTCTCAAGTACTACAAGACTACTTGTTACAGTCCTGCGACAGCACATTTGATTTTTTGATTGCTCTCGGGTTGTAAAGAGAAAATAAAAAATGCTTCTAAAATAAACTGCCTACCCCCGGCTTTAAGTAATAAATAATTAATGTTTTTGCTTTATATAGTGTTTAGATCTTAGATTTACCAATAAAACATCATCTTCTATTTGTTGATTACATTTTGTATTATTAATCTGAGTCTGTAAAGTAAATTATCAAATAAATGTAGTATAGTGGAGTATAAAGTACAATATTCGGCTCTTATTTAGTACCTTAAAATGGTTCTGTACTGAGTTACTTTTCACCACTTCACACAGCTGAAATAAATATGTTTTAATAATAAAAATCATGTACCTTATGGTGGTGAAACTGCTTCAGAAAAAACTATTTTGTACTTTTTTGTGAGGTTTCATTGACACGTGCAATAGCACACTTAGTAATGTAGGATTTCCTGTTAGTACACAATGTTAAAGTATTTTCTTTTACACTAAGTCTAAAATCAGTATAGTGTAATTGGAGTGTACAGTAGTGATAGTATGCAGTTGAGAGACACGTGATCTACCATGACTTCAAAGACGTGGTTGACAACTTCAGACCCGATAACAAGAGTGTCTCCGTCTACATCACGGGAAGAAACGTATTTTAGAATAAAGAAACGGAGGTTTGCAAAACAGGAGGACAGGGAGAAAGAACAAAGGAAAAAATCTAACGGATCCATCTCACGTAGGTCACGCTGCCGGCACAGGAACAGTCAGAGGGGAGTCGAGATCCGAGTTCAGACCTGGAGATCACAGAGAATAGTCTCCAACCACCCGTCACTTTATGTCCATTACGTGGGAAACACTGCACCGGCTGTGGTCAGAGAGAACAATTCGATATGTTCCAATCAGAGGGACTCTGGAACTTAGACTCACGACACACACACACACTTTAAAGTGAGCCAGAGTAAATAGTAATAATAGTTTTGTCCAATTTTGACTGTGGAGACCAAGAGATGAGAGGAGAGAGGAGTGATGGCACACAGCGAGCGTCCCCGGGCGGACCACAAGTGGGGATGTTGTGACTGAATGGTCAGCGATTTCTATTCAAGCGGCTTTAACAACCAACATGTGGCAAAAGCTCAAGATGCTAAAGAGGTCAAAGATCACCTAAAGAGACAGACTGACGCCGGCCGAAGTGAAACCAGAATTCAGGCTCTAAACATAACTCTCATACCCCCCCTCCCTCTTTGTTAAGCTGCCTAGGGTACCTTGAAAGGCGCTATATAAATGAAAGTTATTATTATTAAAACGTCATTCAAAATCCCACTTGTAACTATACTAATAACTAAGAATTCAGCCTTGAAACAGACTTTCTCAGTGTGTCGTGTGGCTTCCTTGATACGTTAAGTATCAAGTAAGTTTAACTATCTCAAAACATTCTCATCCCAACTCGTCACATATGGACGCTCGGTCAAGACCCCTTGGCGGCGCTTTGTAACGCCCTGGGTACCCCTTTAGTGTTGTCTTTGTACGTGTAGGGTTCGCGGTCAAGTTAGCAACTATAAATATGCAACAGCTGGTTAGACTTTGCAAAAGTAGCGCAAATTCAGTAATGTTTTTTGCTGTAACGCAGTGATATAATGCATTACTAATAATATGGTAATATTATACACGTTACAATCTCAGTAACACGTTTTACAACGCAATTTAACTCGAAATTAGAGGAGACTTATTGTGCTTTTCCACATTTTATGACTTATCTACAATGTTTTAATGTTGGATGTTCATGTTAAACATGGCCAAAGTTTCAAAAAATAAGGTTAAAGTATTTATAAGAAATCCCTGTGAGCAAAAATATTTCCTCCTGTTCTGAACAGCTTTTCTACCAACGGCTCCGTAATACGACACACGGAGTCAGACGAGCCGCTGTTCCATATATGGTCATTTGCTCCCATAGCAACGGCACAGCAACGCTCAGTCTGCCTGTTCTGCCCAGTGACAACAGCAGCCTGGTAACATGCTTCAGGTCTTGTCCAATCAGAAGACAGTGAGCTTTGAGAGCGGGGGGGCCTTAAAGAGACAGGAGCATCTACAGCTTGTTTCAGACAGAGGCTGAAATGAAGGCCTGCATGAAGAATCAGTATAAGACAGAAAATAATTTTTTTTGAACTATGAATCATGCAAAGCTGCCAAATAGGAGTCACAGAACTACAATATAGGACTGGAAATACAGATTATTGGTCTCCTTTAATGTTCCAGTTTGTTTTGTGAGTAATATAGTTAAAACGTTATTTCCTGTTGCCAGGGGCAGCAGGGCTCCTCTTAATAAGATGGGAGCTCCTCTGAAAACATTATTAGTGAAATTTTGGAGGGGCTACAATATTGACATTGTCAATTGTTAAGATGATGATAAGATCACATTTTATGACCAATTTCTGCACAAATTCAGGTAATTTTAAAGGGTTCACATACTTTTTCCAGCAACTGGATGTAAGTTAAGTAACATAACTTACGTAACAAAACTATTATTTGTTTCACACGAGTCGGGGGGGGGGGGGTCCCAGTGTGTTACAAACTGACACCAAGTGGTCTTGACAGGGGTGGAGCCGCGGTATCAAGTTCCCGCCCACACAACCCGGCCGACCCCATTTACAAGCCAGGCTCAGCTGTCGATAATGATGAGAAACCCCTTTTAAAAGCATCAAAGAACTTATTAAAACCGCTTCACTTCACAAGAAAGAAATGCAGAATGAGAGGAGAAGCTGGACAGAAGCTGGTGGAACAGAGGCTGGACAGGAAGTAGCTGTTTCCCTGCTGGGGGGCGCCTAAGAAAGGGGACGCCATCCTAGCTAGCTACCGATGAATGAAAAATAGAAACAGACAAAATGGCCACAGACTGAGCTGAGATGGATGCAGCTGCACGTATTTCTTGGAGAGGACGTTGGTGGATAGCATGGCTATGGAAGAGACAATATTAGTACATGCTGGAATAGTTTTATGAATGCAAACACATGAACCGCTGTTTGATGAATAAATGTGGTGATATTCTAGATTGTCAACAAATTTCATGTGCAGACTCAGTCCCACAGACCAAATTCTGCTGCCCCAAACACAAGATACTAGAAATACTAGAGCACCAGAAGTAGGATTCATCCGCCGCTGGAAATAGTCCCCAACAAATGCACTATTTCCTCCTGTTTGTTTGATCGTGAGCAGAAATTACTGAGCATTTATTAAACATGAAACTATATATTTTTAAGGTGTTTTTAAAGATTTACGTCTTCAGGAGGAACCAATGCGCTCGGAGCAATGCACGAGAGCCACAAACAGGAAGTCAAACAGTTCTGAGGGACGTGGTTTGGCTCTGCACATGAAGATTTGTTGACAGAATTTAGAAAATCATCAGCTTTATCACTAAACTTAATTTTACTCACCGAGGTGAGAGTTTCTAATGTGAAGGTCTGTCATTTACTGTATATTAGAATATGTAGTAATAAATATATTCAAACACAGATGCACTTTTTCAGGAAGATCGATGACAGAAAACCTCAAGGAGAGGATGTTTTGAGTCCCAGAGGTGGAGTGGAACAGCAGCAAAGTGAGATGTGATATCAGCTCTCTATGACCACAATGCAACAGGTGTGTCCAGCTTTGTGTGTGTGTGTGTGTGTGTGTGTCACCACTTCACAGTACAAAACTCGAGTTCGTCGTCTTCAGTTCACGTTGAACCATCACAGCAGCAGCGTCTCCCCAAGCTTCAGTTCAGCTAAAACACCAAGATTCAAATTTTTTGTTTGCCACCAGTACTGGACCCTGTGTCATGGAGCCGAACTCATTTAGAGATCAGAATAATCCCGTTTCCGTAGAGACAGATGTCCGTTTCCATGACAACAGACACACTTGTTCGCGGATGAGAGGAAAGTGGTCTGTGGAGCAGACTGAAATGAGCGTCCGGTGATCCGTCCCTTTTCCTCCCGTTCCACATCCAAATCGAGTGTCGGTGGCGGGAGCGGGGGTGGTTGGCTTTCGTCGGCCGTGTCGGAGGTAGAGGGTCAGGCAGACCATGCTCGTCGTGCAGCAAAAAACAACAGCAAAGTACAGGAACAAATATCTATTTGTTTTTCATCCGGTGCAGGCGCTTGAGAACGGTAGTGCTTCAGGAAAAATCGTAGAGGGAAACGGTGTCGTGACGGTCGGATGTTGTCGTCGGGAATTCGATTTTGCCATTCCAGCTGATTTTAAATCAGGATTTTAATATCACTGGAGACAGAAAAAAAAAGACAGAATTTAACAGATTTTCAAAGTATTTTTTATGTATTAGACAACCTTTTATTAAGTGGCACATTACGAGAAAAACAAAGAGAAACTATTCTTAATTCTAACTTTCTCGTACTTGTTTTCGTACAGTGTGGCTAATGTTCCTAACGTAACACAGCGTTACGTAACCACAACAAATACATTGTTCATTGTAAATTAGCATAATTAATGCCCCAGTAACACCATGTAAAGCTATGCGTCCTGCCACATGTGCCAGAAAGTGTTCATTCATGAAAACGACATCGAAAAGTGAAAAGAAGATGTTTTTGGGGACTGTAGTTCTGATTTCAGAGATCCATTAAGAAAAGTCTCAGCAGTGGAATTAAGGGAACAGGGTTGGATCGGTGTGTCTGTCTACAGAGTTTCAGCTCTAAGAAGTTTTACATTTGCAGAAGCAGAGCCTATGGTGATCTAAAGCACTACAACAACCATTCGTCTGTCTCTGCTAGGACACTGCACAGTGTCTGAAGGCTTTCAAAGGACTATACTTACAGCTGACCTTTAAATACAGACACAAACTAACCTTTAGTTGGTGCTTCATTCAAGCCGTTTTATTATTGTTGTCTCACACAGTGGCATCAATAGCCGATTTAAGTGAATGATAACATCATAAAGCTAATTGAATTTCATCGTTCAGACCTGCTGCTGTTAGGTGTCACGGTTCTGGGGTGTCGGAGTTTCTTGCTTCCTGTTTTACTTTCTAGTTGTTCTGTCCCTGGTGGTGACACGGTTTTGTTTTACTTCCTGTTTCTGTGTTACCAATTGTTTAAATCGTTTGACCGGTATGTCATTATGTTCAGTGTGTTTGGTTTTATTTACTTAGGCTGCTCCATTTACTTGTTGAGTGTTCATGACTTGTCTTGGAAGTGTTTCATCTCTTGTCTTCGGATTATGCCTTTGGTTTCTTGCCATTTTAGATTTATGCTATTGCGTTAGTTAGGTTTGTTTTTAAGTACGCAATATTAGAATTTTAAAATATACCTTATTTTGTAATTTTTCTACTATTTGAAATACACATAATGTAAATAAATCTCATGTAGGATTATTATAACATATATATATATATTTTATTCTCCTGTGCCCCTCAAACTGCCGTCCTGCTCAGCCTGATTTAGAGCTAAGGACATTTTGGCTTCTTCTGCTAAAGCAGTGTTTATGTTCAGTGAATTGCCTTTGTGTTCCTTCAGACCTCAGTGAATGGATCAATAAGAGAGGGCGAACTGTCACAGATCCACTAAGGAAGGAGCCTAAAGTCCCTTGAGTGGTTTCAGCTCACTGGCAGTCATACCATTACAGTCCTGCTATGTGTATAAACTCTATTGAAAGTGACAGCGTTTTCAAAATTAGGCTGAATTTAGAGTAGTGTTTTACAAGAATCTGTATTGATCGATATAAACTACATATCCATTTGATTAAATGGTGCAAAACATGTGGGGTTTTTGTGTGTGTGTGTGGGGGGGGGGTGTTTAGCATGTGTAGGGTTTACACAGTCAAATTAGTAAGAATAAATAAACACATTCTACTGTAGTTAGTGTTACATGTTTCTCATTGCATTTTGATTTACTCATTTTCTCTCCATTTATCTTGTGTTATACTGTAATGTATTGTATTTTCTTCTGTCCTTTTTTCACCCATCACTGTTTTAATGTTTTATTTCTTTAAAAGCCCTTCAAAATAGTTCAACTGCTAAAAACACAATGGTACATACGTCGGATTCCTGTTTTCAGTTTATCTACGTTAAATGTATCGGTCCCTAATAAAACAAACCATAAATAAATAAAATAAAAACACTGTTCTACGTTGTGAAACGTTGCTATTTGGTTAGGTTTAGGCACCAAAACCACTTTGTTAGGTTTAGGAAAAGATCATGGTTTGGGTTAAAAATATCTACCGAAGTTATGTTTCTTATGTAACTGCACTAAAAAGAGTGAATGGTGACTGTTTTGTTTCACACAGGAACCACACTCCTGTTTCCTAAATAAAAGTCCAGTTTCCAACACACCCGTCCATCCCTATTTACTCTATACATGGACTTTTTTGTTATCCTTACTAGGCCTACTTTTAGCAATGAACAATGGCACAAAAAGGGGACGATGTACGTTGGTACCAGATGCCGAAGATGCCCACCCCCAAGTTCCCTAAATCATGAGAAAATAAGGTCTGACGGGGTTAAAAAGCCAGATGTTACTTACATCCCCAGTTGAGGGCGATCGCAGCGGCGATGATGGCGATCCCTCCTAAGATGGAGACGACGGACAGAATCATGGCATTGCGGCCCAAACGGCGAGCCCCGTCGATGTTACCTTGCTGCAGACTGTTTCGGGACTGAACAGAGTGCAAACGATGAAGAAATTTTGACACACATATCTCACTGTAAATTTGTCAACACAACTCTATAAGCTTGTAGTGTGGCGGGGCTGTTTTTCTGCTAGCTTACACCTGAATAGAGTATTATAACGTTGATAATACTACAGATTCATTCACTGAAAATGTTTCCTCATGATGCTGACATTAAAAAACATAATCCAGGCATCATTATGTTTCTTAGAAAACTGTTTAGCTATTGCAAATTAGTAGAGTAAAAACACCATTCTTAGGCAACAAACTTTTAGTTATTCATGCTCTGATTAGCATTTGTTGCGTTTTCTCTCTCAATTTTTCGTACCATCACGGAGAAGGTGAGGGCTACGATGTTGATGGGCCACAGTGGGCAGAAGCAGGACAGGATGGCCAGGATCAGGTAGTCCCTCGGTTTGGACCCGTCCACAGTGGCCTCAGTGATTGCGCTGGGCTGGCGGGTGAGCGAGGGCCTCGGTGAGCCCGCCGCTAAAGAGCCAGACCGGCTGCCCAAACCAGGCCGACCGTTAGCATGACTGCCTGGTTTAGCATATAGCTTGGGCGACACAGAGGACACTGTGGGAGATGAGTCGACCCTCACAGGGCCTACGCCGTTACCTGGAGGAGAAGAAGTTAGAAGAGAGAACTACTAAAAAAAAGGACTGAAAAATTTAATTTGTATGTGCAAAAAAATGTGTAACTTGAGCAACTCACTTATGGAATCTTTCTTAAACTCTTTTTTAAACTATCTTTGTATATTTGTGATGTGGAAGAAAAGTACAATATGTCCCTCTGAGATGTAGTGGTGTAGTAGAATGGTAAAAAGTAGCAGAAATGAAAATAATCAAGTCAATTAAAAGTTTTATTAAAGATAGTACTTGAGTACAAAACGTTCTTACAATCCTGCGCTTACTTTCTGTTCTTTTGTTGAAATTTATTGCCTCTTGTTGTTTGTTTTGCCTGCCTGTAATTACTGACACACCAAAATTCGATTTCAATTTCATTTTTAACAAAAGGTTTTTCAGTTCACTCAGTCGGCCTATCAACACTGTTAGAAGAGAGTGAAATAAAGAAGGAAATCTAATCACAGTAGGAAGAATAAAATCAATAAGCAACAGTGGATTCATTCAAATAGAGAAAGGAAATATGGTAAAACCCCGAACATCTAGACGGTCATGCACAGATGCAGGACAGATGTTATATTTACTGTTCTCCATGTCACTGATCACTGTCAGGTGGTCCAGGTCTTTGCCCGCCTCTGTGTGTTTGGCATCAGGAGCGTGTGTCGTCTGGGGCGGAGCTTGTTGCTCTGCGCTGACCGGCTGAGAAGTCACGGCGGCTTGGCCGACTTCTCCGTCCTGCTGCGTGTTGATTGGCTGTTGTGGCTGGTGGGACTCTTCCATGCTACTGGACGGCTGGGCGGCGCTGGGACTGGTGGCCATCAGACGGTGAAGACAAAGTAAAGTGTTTGAAGAAAAGCTGAAGGATGAGCGCTGTCTGAAAAGGTTTAAAGAGAGGGAGTCAGAGATTTAACAACTTCATATTTATCAATGGATTGTTTTGATCATCGATCACTGTTATAAAATGGATTACTGGTTACTTTGTACACAGCATTTTGTCTTGTACTGCAGAAAGTAAAGCTGATTTTAATTACTTTATAATTGTTAGGTAGTTTAATGTTCACAAAGATGTTTTAAAGAGGTGGCATTATGCTTTTGTGCTTTTTCCCCCTCTCCTTTATTGAGTTATATAACGTATTTATGCACGTAATATGTTTGCAAAGTGAAAAAGCCCAAAGGGAGTTCCCATCTCCCACAGAAAACTCTGCTCTGAACTGAAAACAGTTCGTTTGTAGTCCAGCCGCTTCCCTAAAGCTAAACGCGCTTCATATAACGCTCGCCAAGCGGCTACTCCGACACGCCCTCAGAAACAGCGAGCTGCAGCACACAGCTCTCCTCTCCCTTCCAAACACTAGCTACCCTCCAGGCAGTCAGTGGACATAAAGTTGTTCCTGTGATGTAGAGACAGAGCTCAGTTAAAACTTTATGGATACAGATTAATAACTCACCGCTCTGAAACTCTCGCTCCAGTCCATGTTGCCAAGCTGGTAGGCAACACGTACGGCTGAACCTGAGCTGTTTACGGGCTTCTCGCTGACCCGCCTTTCTCTGCTTCTGATTGGTTAGTAGTCCTTAACTAGGAACTGAGCATGTGCAACTCCCAACAAAGATCATTTAGAGACAAGATGTATCACTCCATAGCTAAAACGAAGCCTTCAACACAGGCTGAAAAGAGGAGCTGCAGCAATGTGCAGTATGACAAAAATATTAAACCATGTAAACCTGCTCTGGTACAACCTCTAAATAAGATTCTGAACCTGAAAATGAGCAGAATACCACCTCTTTAAATGTTGAAGGCAAAACACCAGAGAAGATGGTGGTCGAAGAAGCAGTGTGGTGGAAAAAGTGTTCAGATCCTTTGTAAAAATACTAATACCACAATGTGAAAATACTCCATCACGAGTAAAAGTGCTGCATTCCAAAACTTAAGTAAAACTCACTTAAGTAAAACTATGTAAGTACTATCAGCTCAATATAAATAAATGTGGAAAATACAAGTACGTATGCTGCAATAAAATGGTCCCTGTCAGTGTTTTATTATTGTGATTTTAGGTGTTATTTCCTGTTCTCTGCCTGTCTCTGTGTTTTCTTGTTCTCTGTATCTGATCATGTTTTTCCTCGTGTCTTCTTTTCATTCATTCTGTATTTCCTGATTTACTTTGTTACCTACTGTACCTCTCACTTCATTTCCTTTCACCTGTTCCTCGTTATCTCCACCTCTCCTGTGTATGTATTCAGAATAGTTGATCCTGATTGTAAAGTATAGTCGGTTATTACAAGTACCTTGAGTTTGTACTTAAGCGCATGTCCTCCATTACATCTCACCGCTGCCATTAAGTAATAATAATAAATGGACGTTAGAAGACAATGTTAAAATAATCAGAATTGGGATTTGAACAAAACACAGATGAGCAGTTTGAACTTTGATTTTAACACCGAAAAAATGCCTCCATGTGAGCAGGAAGTAGGGACGGCACTGATCCGATATGGATATTGGTCCGATTCTAAGCCAAATAGCTGGATCGATTATCGGTGACATAAGGCTGATCTATGGGCCGATCCATTCACTTCAGTTATATCATACTACACATGAGTCAACAGTGAACTAAAATATCAACTTTAGACTCATTTGTGAACTATAAGATAAGAAAATGTACAATGCAAGTTCTTTGAAAGAAGCTAAAGCTGACAGCTGAAAGGATACAGGACAGATGCAGAGCTGAAGTAATAACTTATTTCGCTGCTTGATGTTTGCCTGTATTAGAGTCGTGGTCTCGAGCAGAAGAGGTTCCACAGAGAGAGGTTTAGTCGCTATAAATCTGGAGTTAATCTTAGCAATCGGTAACGTGCTCTTGCATCGGTTGCTGTCTAACTTCGTGGGTTAGCTCGCTCCACCCAAGTTTGAGCAACATTACGCTGCAGCTGGTGGAGAGCGGCGCCGGTGACGAGCTGGAAACGTTACCTCTATGGCATAGGTGAAGACAAGAGCTAAGGAGATAAAAGGAGCTGCGAGCCAGACGGTGAATTACTCCAAATCTTACACGTGATGAATGACTCCCAGTCTCCTCTGCACAGTGAGGAACACAGCTGATTTATCTTACACTGGTGTCGGATCGTACTCTGTATCGGCCTGCACCCAAAGCCCAGGAGTCGGTATCGGAGATGAAAAAGTGGCATCAAGCCTGCTAGAGAAAACGCCATAAACTCTGAAAGCAATAAAATCTTCATTCATTAGAACAGAAACAAGCATCAGGAGGTAGAAGCGACCTTTTGGATATTACTTAGATTTGATTACTTTTTGTTACAGAGCATGTGTGATGCAGGTTTTTGTGTTTACGTTGTCTCAGGTCAAAGATTTCTTTGGTTTTGATAATGGTAGTATTTCATTTTTTATTTTTTATGGTTGGCTGTTTTCTTGTTCGTTCTTTTGTTGTATAATTTTTTTTAAAGAAAGGAAGGTTGGTGCACTTTAATATGTGTTCATTGGGTTGAACATATACAAAAATGTTTTTCTCTACTCAGTCACTGCAGCGTTAATAAAGGCTCGAGTCAAGAGAGATTTGAGAGAGAATATTAAAACTGCTGCACTTCAATGAGCTAACATTATTAAAACTTGTTCCCCGCCGTCAAACCAAAGGGAAGCTGCACGCAAAAACCAAAGGTGGAAGTCTCAGAACTTCACACAATGTTTCAGAAGACGGAAGTGCAATTTTGACTCATAAGTGCATAAATTAAGCTTCAGCAGCTCCTCTGGACCTTATCATCGTATTACATAATCTTCCTTTATTGATGGAGTTGTCCAGTTTTCATGGAATTTCCACTTATCTGAGGACTTCTCGTCAACTGTTCAGCATTCAGATACTTTCGGTACAACTTTTAACATCGTGTGTTACAATTAAAAGCTCCAGAACAGCTACTAAAAGGACCCTGTGTGGATGAACTTTGAACTGTCCAGCCAATACGGAAGATAAGTCCATAAGATGCTCAGAAATAAACTTGAACAGCTAATCCCACGATAAACTCCTGCTGTTAAAGAAGATCGTGTGAAAAGATTGTTCCGTCGGAAATGAAGATGTTTTCTCAGGTTTTGATGCTAATTAGTTTGATAATCACCATATGTTACACGATTACCATCTTGGTTTTCCAAAAGAGCAACAACAGAAACGTTTGTTACCTCGTGCGCAACTTATTTATAACAGATCCATCTGCGTGGGTTTAAGGTTGCTGATTTATTCCAATGACTCAACAGCTTCTTGCTGCCAGCTGCTGAGGTTTCTGGTCTTCTGTGTAGGTGGACTTTAACTGAGGATTTGTTTAAAGTCCCACTGGTCACCGATTTTTAGACTCACAGATCAATGAACGCCTCTTTAAACCAGAAGAACCATAAAACAATATAACCAACAATATTAACAGTCCTGTAACCGGCCTATACACAGAACGGAACGAGCATCACATAGAGCCCTGAGAACCTGATATGGCGAGGGCAGAAAAGAGGACCGGCAGCTTGTGAGAAGTGCCGGTACGCAAGTGCCGAGACTGCGTACTGGTGAGTACCGCCCACTTCAAGCACTGGCTTTAACAATGAGATCTGAAGTTGTCAGACATTACACTGTTTATGAACACGGGCAAGAGCTTTTCAATAAGTAACCTTGTTCGGACTGCACCCATCTTCAAACTCTGCCTTCATTTTGATCTCAACTACGACTGCATCTTAGGTGGTTGCGGTAGGTGTCTCCATCATGACACAAGGTGAAAAGAAATCCAGCCACGCCGTCGCAGCCGGTATTAAATGAGGAAGTTCTTCTGACTGCAAGAAGAAAACTCCCGCACCTTGACAGAGCCGCAGGCCGTGTGGAAAATAATGAATAGGTTTGGATTTAAGTGGATCTCTGACTGTTTTCATGAAGATGTTAGAAAATCTTTCAAAGAACTCCGGTTTTATTTTCTGACATCTCTCCAGCACATTAAATAGAAAGGCAGTTACAGAATTATTAAGACATTACAGGTAAGGAAACATGACTGCTCAGATCTTGAGACCTGTAAAGTAAAGCTTAACCCTAAAATAGATATTTTGAATCGTTTAAAGAATTATAAAACATTTATTGTAGTATTTTTTACTAATGTTTTATTTTGTTTAACAATTTAAATGCAGACTTAATTAAATCCTCGTGGTTTACTTTTCTATACACACCAGTATAACTCCTGTTAATATTTGAATGCACCAATAAATGCGTTATGATAAACCACTGATAGGACTTTTCCTGCAGCCGCCTCCACGCTGCTGCTCTTTTTATATCTTCTCCTATTGATCTTTTTATATCCCATCGCTCTTGTATCTCTTGGACATAAATGTTATTGTGATATGCTGCTTGATCAAATGCTGTTCCTCCTCTCAGCGGCGTGGATGTTACGTTTGCCACCGATCACTCAGGCAGAGACTCATTGATCTGCGCGACGGCCTGCAGGACGAACAGCTTCTTAAAGAGCAGATTTGGGAGGAAGCTGTGTGTGTTTTGCAGCACCTACACACTGAATATTGTAATGGCCTGCCAGGACTCTACTGATGACTTGTGTTTCCCCCCGAGGACCCAGCGCTGCGGCGCTGCTTTGCTGTAATAGCTGACCAAAGCAGTCTTTTCTTGCCGAGCTACACTTTATGTGACTGTGTGTGTTCTGTTACAGCAGCCTGAGGGGCTTTGGAGCTGCAGTGTAATTTAAAACATGTTACAAGATACTGTTCTTCAAAGGACCTCTGCAGAAAGCCTTCATCTTTCAGAGAACAGACAGGCTGGAAACACCAGGGGTCGACAGCTCATGCATTCACACTTAAATAAAAGTTTGGCTGTATTTTTACAGTGTGGTGTTAGTACTTTTACT